TGTCCTGGACTTTGACACTACAAAAGGTTTACTTTTCTGTGTCCAAACCTATTCGGGGAGCATCACAAAGTTCCTTTTGTTGTCAAATATACATTCTTACATATTATACAAAGATAACACCCTCTCTGGTTTTTATTTGCTTGCATCTAAAGTCAGATGTAAAATTACTTTCAAGTCCCAGATTATATGTACTAGTAATGTATCCATAAGACACGGTTGCCCCCGCACTGACAATGTCTTGTCAATCTTATGACTCTAGGCCAAATATTTTTTGGGCTACATGTGCATGTGCACAAGTTAAAAACTATAAATCTTTTACTAAGTAAAGGGCAAGAACTTTACAAATACTGAATAAAGGGAAATCACTCTAACAAATTTGTAAAAAATCCACATGCAAAACCCAAGGTGCATAGACACTCATTGATGTCGATCATTATGCTTGTAACGTTGGCTGATTCTAACTCAAGTACTCAAGGAACAAATAGCACAACATAATGGAACTCAAGAACAATAATTTTGACAAAACAGAAATAATTCAAAGAAAAAAACCCAGTTTCACGACTTTATATGCTGATCAACATTCCTATAAAGTGTCATTACCCTAGGTCAAGTACATTTTGAGGTATTTGTGACACAAGTTGAAAATTGCAAATTTTTAGTAAGTTGAGGGCAATAACGTACAAAACAAAACAAATTAACAAGCAAAATCCCAGGTGCACATTTTCACATTCTGTGCTGAGCAACATTTCTGTAAAGTTTCATGACTCTTGATCAAAGACATTTAGAACTATGTGCGACACAAGTTTAAGATTGCATATTTTTACTAAGTAATGGAAATAACTCTGACAAAACAGAATAAATACACAAGCGAAATCCAAGGTGCACAACATGACATGCTGATAAACATTCCTGTAAAGTTTCATCACCCTAGGTCAAATACTTTTTGAGGTTCAGATTAAAAATTTCAAATATTTACTAAGTAAAGGGCAAAAACTCTGCAAATACTAAAGAAATTCACATGAATATACCCAGATGCACAACTACACATGCTGAGCAACATTCCTGTAAAGTTTCATGACTCAAGGTCAAAAACTTTTTGAGCTATGTGCGACGTACGGACGGGTGGATGGACAGATGGACGGACAGACAAGGGCAAATCTAAATACAGCGGGGGCTAAAAAAATGTTTAAATATTTCGATTGACATCTTAAAGACTTCGACGGATCACTCGATTTTAAACAATTGCAAGTGTTGGAATTCCAAAGTCCTGCGAAAATTACCAAATAATAGATAAATACAGAATCCCTAAAGAAAGCCCAACACGGCAAAATTGAAAATGTTGCAGGCTCGGTTTGATTGAGCATGTTCATGGACGGTACTGGAAAGTGCAAGTTACCGTCCACGCCCCCTAGCACCGGCTTAAGCAGAATTCAACATTTACACATGAAATAGTAAAATTTTGAATTTAGAAACATCCGCAGATGTGTTCATACGGCGGTTATCATGGAACCTTCAATGTGACACTTCCGTGCCATTCCATGAAAAGCGGCGTATGGTCCCCAAGTAATAAAAAGCGTGTGCCCTAAACGAGAAAACAATGGGCGGAACTTAATAAAATAGAATTTTGAAAGGGGATCAGAGGTTATGAAGCCTGCGTATCACAGATAAGACGTCAAAAGACAAATTTAAAAAAGCAGGCAACATATCCTAAGGGGGATTCAACATTATTCAAGTAGGATTATTGGAACCACCCAACTAGAAAATGCCGAAAAGTTGAAACTAGAAATACCACAAGCACAACAAGACTGACGTAACAAATTTACCTCAGTTGACTCAGAGACTATGAAAATACTATTCACCAATAATAATATGCTTAAAAATGGGTCAAAGACAGAAAAGGCCGGGTTGCACGTGTATACAAAATATCATGAGGCTGTGAGTTGTTACTTAAATTTTCTACCACTGACCATTGATGTTGAAAATTTAACTAAGTCAGTAAACCGGAAGTGGATGAGCAACAGACCTGAAATGGAATCCCACAATATTGGACCACATGTAAATGCTGTGAACCACATATCAAGAGGTTGTGGTAAGTAGTTGCTGAGAAAACTGTTACGAAAATTTCCGAATATTGATCATTAATTATGTCAAAAATTTAACTAAGTCGGCAAACAGGAAGCGGATGAGCTACAGACATGAAATCAAACCCCACGGTATGGGACCCTGTGTTAATGCTGTATACTAAATATTAAAAGGCTGTGATAAGTAGTTGCTGAGAAAGCTGTTACGAAAATTTCTACCATTGACCATTTATGTCGAAAATTTAACTAAGTCGGCAAACAGGAAGCGGATGAGCTACAGACCTGAAATGAAATCCACGGTATGGGACCCTGTGTAAATGCTGTATACCAATATTAAAAGGCTGTGATACGTAGCTGCTGAGAAAACTGTTATGAAAATTTCCTACCATTGACCATTAATGTTGAAAATTTAACTAAGTCGGCAAACAGGAAGTGGATGAGCGACAGACCTGAAATGAAATCCCACGGTATGGGACCCTGTGTTAATGCTGTATACCAAATATTAAAAGGCTGTGATACGTAGCTGCTGAGAAAACTGTTATGAAAATTTCCTACCATTGACCATTAATGTTGAAAATTTAACTAAGTCGGCAAACAGGAAGTGGATGAGCGACAGACCTGAAATCGAATTCCACATTATGGGATCACATGTTAATGCTGTATGCCAAGTATCAAGAGGCTGTGATAAGAAGCTGCTGAGAAAACTGTTACAAAAGTTTTTTCCCCGCCCGCTGCCGCCCGGCCGTTCGCCGCCCAACATTCACCATACTTTTACCCGGGTTTGCACCTGTGCAACTCGGCCAAAATGAAAGAAAACACAGGCCCTGTGTTAACTAAGGAAAGGTCAGGATCAGTATCAAATGATCCTGTTTTTATTTTCATTGTTTTATAAGAAATTAAATTACAGTTAATTCGCTAGAATTAAATGGTGCCTATTCAAAATGTAAAAATTGATGATTTGCAAAGAAACAAACTTATTTTGGTATAGAATCAACGTAAAACAAAACAAATACAAAGATCAAAATAAGGATCAATTTTAGGATCGAGATCAACATTTGGTTTAGCTGTAAAATACACGTATCTTCCAAAAAAAAAACAACAAATATATTCTAAATTTTCAAAAACATACTATTTCAAGCCCAGATTCATCAAGTTAATATAAAAAAAAAACTTATGAGGATAAACAATGAGGAATATTTGAGTTGATGAAACTTCAAAAACATACTATTTCAAACCCAGATTCATCAAGTTAATATAAAAAAAAACTTATGAGGATAAACAATGACGAATATTTGAATTTATGAATTTTATCCTGATCCTTAAATCTTGGTGAACACGAGGCCGGATGTTTGTTGTGTGTACCAATATAGAAACATCAACTAAAGAAGCGTAGGCCTGACGACATTTATTTTACACAACACCGACATAAAGACATATAGTAGGGCACCTAAAAGGAAAAAAATTTAAACGGGACGGAAAACAAGTTTTTGAGCACAATATTTTCTTTATATGTTTTACTGTTACTTTAAGTTAAATGTTGATCATACGGTATGACATAAGTTTGCCGTTTTAAACGATATTGTTAACACCAGCTACTTTTTTTCAACATAATATTCGCTTCAAAGCAACATGCCTCCAGAGTCCAGATGAACCGAATCTATTCAAGAAAATGAGTCTTGAGAACAATGTGCTAAGATTTTATTAAAAGTGTAACTTAATGAAACTTACGATTAATTTATTGTACATATTTTAACCAAATTGTTTGATTGAAAAATTAATAAGTTTCGGTTGCGAATTTAATTAGTTAATTGCGCTTCAATATAATGAGATGGTTGTATCATGAAATGTGAAACGTTAAATGCATATATGTTTCTGGTAGTGAAACCAGTTTAAGTTATGTGTCTACCATCTGACAGATGCTGTTATCGATTTCATACCTACATATTTAAGTACAATTTGTCAAGTTGGACGTTAAAATAAATGACACTTGAATGTAAACTATTTTACTTGTTCTGACGATATCTGTTAACGTTCATACGATTGGTTATAGGGCGTATCAAAAGTTTGTTAAACGAAATATCATTAGCTACTCCAATATGTCCGTTGGCCGTCAGAAGCACGTGCAAAAATGTTACTAATCTGGTTGTTTTTAGTTCAGAGAGGAACCCTCTCAGTTCTCGTACAGTTCTTCTTTTATGTTTCTAGAAAATCTGTTTTGATTGTTTAGGACAAAGTTAAAATATAATTGAATAAAATGCACAATACGATCGTGTTTTGGTTTCTTAAGTTTGATAGCATTACAAAAGTTAAATGATTCAAGATTCAAGCAATATTTTTCATGTAAATATTGATTTATGATTGACTTTGCAGATTTTATTACCATAATTCTACTGAGTGAATAACACAGGGCAATTTTTGACCTCATTTTGAGAAATTAAGTTGACAATAGTGCATAAAATACTTCCCTTGTTCACACTCTTTTACATTTTAAAAGCATTGTCAAAACTTTCATAAAAATTAGCATGAATCTGGAGGCATGATGCTTTAAGTTCAATGATAAGATTAAATATTCTGTATTAAAAATGTATCTGTTTTGAATATTAAATTGGGACGACAATAAGCGCGAATTCAGCTGAACACTTAAAATAAAGTAATCGAGTATTTAGATTTACATGAAATGTTTATTTGTGTGTAATACATATATAAAAGTGCGAAAAATTTATATGATTTCTAAGCTCACTTCGAAAAGATATTTTATTGGGATATGCTGTAGAGAAGAGATAAATACAAGCATCGAATCATCATCACTTGTGTTTAAATTTTAGAATAATAAACCTTCAGGGTTGTTATCTTTTTCGTCGACGCATATAATATATTTGTATAGTGTTCATTTGCGCATGCGTTGCTTGAACAATTAAGCTATAAATGTTTGAGACAGCCTTCGTGCGCGTTATCTACGCGTTCGTTTGGCAGAAGTTCCTTTATTCAATATGTTGGTTTTACTTATGATAAGTTTCTTAGGAGTAACTCAGTGTCTCACTTCAGAAGTGGAACCTAGATGCTCCCGGTTCCATTATGAAGAACAACTTCTCGAGAAAATGATAAGAATGGAAATAAAAGTTGAAGACATTGAAAAACGTATTTCTAAAACGAATCAAAATGTAATCGACGTTTTAGAGGACTTGAAAACCGAAAGGACGAACATGAAAAACGATAACAAGGAATTGCAAACAAACTATGCGAAAGAAATGAAGGAACGAATGACAGAGATCTCTGATTTAAAAGGTTTGGTCTTTTTTAATATTATATTATTATTGTTGTGTGTCGTTGCTACAAAGTTTATTTTAAATAAATGTAATAAAACAATAACTCTGAACTAGTTTAACAAAAAGGGAAAAGAATTTATAATAAAATCTTGAAAAGTTTTTAACGTTTCGAACACAACAAGTTCCTTTCCCTGATACAAAAATTATAAGAAGATTTAAGTATACGTAAGACCCATAATAATTAATTTATGTTGTGATGTTGTGCTATTTTATTATTATATAGATATATTTTGTCTAACTTATCATTGTTATTAAATGAAAATTGTTTTCCAAAACTGTATTAATCTGTAAGGTCGGACTGCTTTCTTCTATTTGCTCATATTCTTCCTCGCTGTTTCCTGATGTGATTGTACTATAAGCTTGTTGATGTACCAATTTGTAACAAAAATAACATTAAAACTATAATACTTTTATACAAACGTAAGTGTTGTCAAAATCAGGGGCATACCATGGCTTATCTTTAGTATACGCCAAAGTGTCGTTACTACCAGATATTCAGGGGCCAGCTAAGCGATGAAATGTCATTTAAATTTTGTCTATATCTATAGTAATGAAAATAATATTTAAGTATTGGATTGACAGATATTTGCATGAAGTCTGACGTGGAGATCGCTTCATATAATTTAAAAGTTATTTACCATTTGGAAAAAAACATAGCGAGATACCTCTATTGTAATCAAGATGGTTAACTTTTTATTCTTTTTCAATGTACCTAAACATGATACAATCAAGGAAAATATTGCTTTAAAAAGTATTAACATTAGAAAAACAAAACATAGCCAGTGACTCTATTTTAATCAAGATGTTAAAAACATTTTTTTTGTTTCATTATTTTTCTTTATTTCAGCATACCTAAACATAAGATAAAATCAAGGAAAATATCGTTTTTAAAACAACCTGTTTAACCAAAAAGAAAAAAAAACACACACACAACATATTAAATGTTTAAGTGTACTGTACGTTTAGGGAGTGGCGGTCAAGTCCACTATTACGGCGTAGAACAGTTATCATATTGTGTTTATTAACTTGTACAATATTGGCTTATAAAATACCTGTTTTACCTATTCAGACAAAGAACAAGAAAAATGCAACGACTCTCTGGCACAGTAACAATAATCTATAGCATCAAAACCACACCTAAAATTTATTAATTCGCGATCATTTATACACGGCCATATAACCTGTCAGGAATATTTATAACGAATTTATAATACTGCAAACTTCTTAATAAGAGAAAAAGTGAGATTTCTTTATAAATTGAAAGTTGCCGTGTATATAAAATTATATAAACGTCACGATTATCCAAGGAAAATTGACGTTACAAACCGTGCAGTATTAAAATAAACGATATATCTAGAAATAACATATGTAACCTTTAAAGAAGCTGAAGTCCGCTTTTACAAACTGCTCCCTCTTCTGTAAGAAGCTGATCAAAAAGAAGACAAAATAATTGAAAATATTGCCATTAAAGCTGCACGCCTCCAGATGAGTCAAAATATTTCAAGAAAATCGATATTGAGAAAAATGTACTAAAATTTTAAGAAAGGTTAACACATTTAAGATCCAAGTTATATTTTACATATTATGTGCGGTTTAACACTGATTTTGAAGTATTTTATCACCATATTTCTAATGCGTTACTAACGCAGTAAGGGGTGTTTTTGCATATGTTGACCACTTTTTGGTAATTTTCTTGGGTTGTAAGTGCCGATTGCAATATGTAAATTACTTTATTTGTTCACTTCACAATATTTTACTTTTAAATACATTTCTAAAATTTTCATGAAAATTAACATGAATGTGGAGGCGTGCTGCTTTAATTGAAATTAATGAAAGTTTTCATTTATCAAAATTTGAAAGGAAATATTCAATATCAAAGCCTGCCTCAGACAAAGAGGCAAAGTGCTTCAACTTCTATAAATTGCTGAGTCTCTTTTCTGAAGCTGACTTTTATGCAAATGCTACTTGAATGGTCGCCAAGAACAATTTTATCTGAAATATATCAGGTATTTTTAAAAAACCAAGTAGTCATATGTAGGTCATATACCAATATACAATGTTTAATGCTGCCAAGACCAACATAAAGATATTTTCACATCTGATCTTTTAAATAATAGTTTCGAGCAGTAGTCATACAACATAAGAATTTAAACGAGTGTTTCGTATTTCGTATATTACAGTCGTCTTCCATTCTAAGTTTGATTAAACAATGAGCCTATTAAGTATTTAATATTTGACAATTTACTCCTGTATTCCGGAGATTTTTAAATTACTTTTTAATGCACTCGTCAACTTAGTTAGCAAAAGACGTTTGTCTACCCACAACTTAAAGTTGGTCTACCTGTAGCTGGTTAATGGTTTATGGTTTACATATCTACTGCAGATCTTTTAGAACTGTTTGCAAATGTGTATGCTGACAAGGATAAACTTACGTTTTCAGAAGTACTCCTTCGTAACGAAGAACAGAATAAAAGATTCTGTACATAAGGTTATAACTTCGGTCAGTCAATCTAAACATCGCCAACTATCAACACTAAATTTCAATGACGATCACAAACAAATGCATGCACTGTGTTTTTGTATATCATATGTTTTACAGGAGATCACTTATTTTTATTACTTCTATTGATAGAAGATAGGCATTATTTTTTCATAACTTTTTCTTTCATTCCAGCATTGCTGCTTACAGACACGATTCCATTTAAATCGCGAGGACCCGCCGATATAAGCCTTGAAACCGGACAAATCATTATCTTCGCAAACAATATGTTGAATAAAGGTGAAGCATACGACAAATATTCCGGAATATTTACGGTCCCAATGAGCGGAACTTACATATTTATGATTCATCTGTGTATTAGTGCCAGCAAAAACATGTATTATGGTATAATGGTTGACGATACTGTTTACACGTCTGGAAGATTCTATGACAGTGACGCAAACACCTGTTATACTGCCGACGCTTTAGTCGTCCTAAACGGCGGTGAGAGAGTTTACGTCAAATGTTTATATGCTGCGTCATCTGGTAACGTACTGATTGAGTACTCCTCGTCAACTAATAACTACTGGAACACGTTCTCTGGTTTGCTTGTTCACAGATAGATTCAAACACATTCTAAAAGGAAACACTATTGATTGATACCGATAATATATTTTATGAATTACAAGATAAATTAGCGATTGCTCTCTACTTACTGTGCAGTAAAACATAATGTATTTATGTGCATTTATAATGGAAAATTTGATATGTAACTCAAAAAGTTTACAATATGTTTCTGTTTATAAGAAAAACAATCTAATTCATCAAAAGAAATATCAGTTAATTTTATCATCTTTCACTGTATTTCGATATGTAGTAAAATATTTATATATCTAAGTTATCCAATTATAGTCTACAATATAAATTGCTTTTGTTCATATTCCAAATCTTACCAATGTATAAACAATTAATCACATTTATATACCATATTCTATGCTCAATTTTAAACACATTTTACTATAATTAAATCCACATTTTTTAAACGAAAGACAGAAATATCGCACACTAAAAACCAAACGTTTTTGACTTGAACAAAAGGAAAATGTATATAAGACAAAACAAACACAAAAAATCTAAACAAAAGACAAAACACAAAATAAACACGCACATATACACTTACTCGCCCACGAAGTCACAAACACATAAACAGCATAGAGACAAGTGAGCTAGCTTCATTAATTTCTTTAAGTTTTATGGTTTTGATTTTGATATTTTTATTTGTTTATCATTTGTTTTTATTTGTTAGAGTTTTTGATAGTTTACGACATCTTTGTTTGTGTGATTCAATATTGTGTAACCTGGATTGATTAAACAATTTTAGCATTATGTCTGCATTTTTTATTATGAACCAACCATATTTTCAACATGAAGTCGTTTTCATAATTTAGTATAGAGCATATATAAAGATTACCCAATAAATGTTTTGTTTGTTTGATTGATTGGGTTTCACGTCACACCGAAACAGTATAGGTCATATGGCAACGTTCCGGCTTTACTGGTGAAGGAAGACCTCAGACCTGTGCTCTTCCGTGCATTATTTCAGACACGAACGGGCACCTGAGTGGAACCACCGATGTTCCGTAAACTAGCTGGAAAGCTTCCTTACATGAAAAAATCCAAAGTCCCTGTTGGAATTTGAGCCCACAGCGGTGAGGGGCAAGTGGTTTGAAGTCAACGACCTTAACCGCTCTAATGAAAACGGCGGTTACTCAATTTATTTCAAAAGGTCAAAGTTGACAAATAATAAAGACATTTTATAAATAAGTCTGTTTGATAATTGTTATAATTATATTTTTTCACAGTTTGTGACCCGATTTAGTATTAAGTATATTACAACAAAACGATATTTTCGAACAATCGTTGAGTCAAATAGAAGATAACTTTTATCTAGGTTATCTTTTTCTATTGTTACTTTTTAAAGCGCAAGAAACAGTTAATTGAGAGTAAACCGGTCTGTGGTACCGGTGTTAAAATATACAGAAAAATAGCAACCCAAGTTGTAACGATCTTACTGTCTATAACTTAGAATTCCGCTAGTAATATAATTGCTCGTTATTAGTACCCCTTGGAAACCCAGCGACATATTGGTTTTTTCTGAATGCTGTACTATAGCGTTGTACAGCAGCTAGCATAATTATTGTAACTTTCATTTTAAACCAGTTAAGATTAATTGATTGATTTCACACTGCCTTCAGTTTAATAAACAATCTTAACCATCTGTTTGTACTATTTACACATATTATTCACAAATTCAAGAGGTCAACTCATTACTTGTCTCAAAGTTCTAAATAACGATCTATTTATGCATTTGTTTTCGGATCTTATCCATGAAGTTGAGAAGTCAAGACTTTGCTTAAAATAATCAGCAATGCCAACGTCATCTAAGTGTACGCATTTAGGCTTGCACTTACGCAGAACGAAATAGTTCCGAGACTTTATCATGGCATGCAGGTAATCGTAATAACCAATCAACTGTCAAGTGGACAAGCCATTTTATTTAACTAAAGCCTTTCGTGAACAAAAATTATTCATTTATAAAAAAATAGTTTTTACTACACCAGTTCTTAGTGTTCAATTATCAAATATTGAAACCAGGAACCACGTGTACTGTCACCCTGATAGAATTTTCGCTAAATATAAAAATATTTTTGACTGAGTGCCGGACATTAAGCGTAACTAAAAACATTATTCCTGCAGCCCACAGGGTATTGGTTTGAGGCATGGCTGAGCACGTGACCTGAGTTTGGTATATTGAGGAGCACGTTATATATTAAGCGTACTTAATTGGTTAAAATATTTTCAATAATCTATACTAAGTCTTCATGCACTTATTGTAGTTTCAAATGGTTATATGAAAAAAGTATAAACAGTGAAAAAGAAAAATAGAAAAGTGCAAATTAAAAAATTAAAAGAATTAAATGTAAACACGAACATATTATTGTAGCCTGTATCATCAAGACGCTTGCAAGAGAAATCTCATACACCCGGATAATACAGACAGGTGTCCCACTAATCGACTATCTCCGCCCTCCGGTCTTTGACGGTGACCGGTCTCAAAAGTCTCTCTTCTAACGATCGATTATTGTCAACTGTATAGGGTTTTTTTGTCAAACAATTTTGAAAACAGGTAAATGAAATATCTTAATATCATTCAAAATTCCCCTGCAGAAAACCGTTTTAATGTGTACACTAAGTATTAATTTGTACAAATGCGTGTGTGCCCCAGTAAGTTCGTTTTCCATGCAAATACCAATATTTCTCATATATTTTGTCGGACCCATTGATATCCTTGAATGTAGATTCAGACTTAATTGAGGCAACTTGTGCCAAGCTGAGTGTATATCAAGATATTTTCATTTACAGTTTTTGTACACAAATGTATGCTGCATTGATTCAATGTGAACGTCCGGAGATGTAACCAGTTGGGTAAATCCAGTGATGTTACCAGTCGGGGAAAATCCGGAGATGTTACCAGTCGGGAAAATCTGGTGATGTTACCAGTCGGGAAAATCAGGTGATGTTACCAGCCCGGGAAAATCTTGTGAAGTTACCAGCCGGGGAAAATCTGGTGATGTTACCAGCCGGGAAAATCCGGTGATGTTACCAGTCGGGGGAAATCCAGTGATGTTACCAGCGGGGGAAATCCGGAGATGTTACCAGGCGGGGTAAATCCGATGATGTTACCAGCCCGGGAAAATCCGGTGATGTTACCAGTCGGGGGAAATCCAGTGATGTTAGCAGCCGGGGAAAATCTGGTGATGTTACCAGCTGGGGAAAATCTGGTGATGTTACCAGCCGGGGAAAATCCGGTGATGTTACCAGCCGGGGAAAATCTGGTGATGTTACCAGCCGGGGAAAATCTGGTGATGTTACCAGCCGGGGAAAATCTGGTGATGTTACCAGCCGGGGAAAATCTGGTGATGTTACCAGTCGGGGAAAATCTGGTGATGTTACTAGTCGGGGAAAATCTGGTGATGTTACCAGCCGGGGAAAATCTGGTGATGTTACCAGCCGGGGAAAATCTGGTGATGTTACCAGTCGGGGAAAATCTGGTGATGTTACCAGCCGGGGAAAATCCGGTGATGTTACCAGCCGGGGAAAATCCGGTGATGTTACCAGCCGGGACCGGAAAATCTGGTGATGTTACCAGCCGGGGAAAATCTGGTGATGTTACAAGCCGGGGAAAATCTGGTGATGTTACCAGCCGGGACCGGAAAATCTGGTGATGTTACCAGCCGGGGGAAATCTGGTGTTGTTACTAGTCGGGGTAAATCCGGAGATGTTACCAGTCGGGGAAAATCTGGTGATGTTACCAGCCGGGGAAAAGTTTTGACATTGAGAAGAGACTTAGTCTCGCGTACTTATATGTGTTTGTTATTGGACGTTACATATCTTGTCCATATAACAAAAACACATACTACTCGTAGTACTTTTTTATTTGTCAATTCAAGATATGGAATAAATGGTCAACTCATTGCGATTAGCACCATTTGGCTAGAACTTGGAATCATTTTCAAGATATATAAAAAAAACATTTGTGCCAGTAACAGTGTAAATGAGATTTACACACTGTCAATAAAATGCTTGTCTGTTTAGTAAATAAAGTTTATTGCTTTGCTTTATGAAGGGCAAAGGTCAAGATATGGGGATAATTGATAGAGATCAAGATTAGAAAGGAAGACTTTAACAATTTGAAAAATCTTGTAATGAAGGCACGAAACAAATGTTGTTTCCGTTAGTAACACAAATAAATTTAAAGGTAAATGATTATTTGCATCATTTTTAAAAAAGCCAAAACAACAACGACAAACAAACAACGCTTTGCTAATTATTTGTCGTGTATAAACAATCAAAACAGCACTACTGGCTTGTTTTGAGTCAGTCAGTAAGCCTCACTGTATCGACTATACCTGTATAATTTGTTAAAATAATCATTATTAAAAATTCATTTATTATCCGATCTGTATAGAGACGTTCAGATTTATATTATATCTTACAATATATCAGACTTAAAATAAATGCCTACGGCACTCCAAAACTTTGCTGCAGTGAGAGAAACTTGGGTGATCTGATAAGGGTGTAAGCTATTTTCATGCTTAATGATAGTATTAGTACATTCAGGTCTGTGACATAATTTGTCAGATTTCTACTGTCTGTTCGAAATGATTCAGATCCGAAGTTTTGGTGCTATATTAGTATTAAAAAGTCATTATTTGTTTAGGAAGCTCATTAAAGAATAAAAACACGACAACAACAACAACAAAAACAAAAACAAACAACAACAACAAACATACAAACAAACAAAAACCCCAACTATATTACAACTATTAAAACAGAACATACCTAACGAATTACATTTCACTGTTAATTGGGAATAAGTCCAGTTATTGTAATATGAAAAAGCTCCAGATTCCATAAGCATAAGACATTAACATTGATGCATTACAAATTTAAAATATTGGCTGCTGTCTGCGTGATACCTTCATCTTAAATTATATGGAACACATAGTTTGTCAATATTCAATAAGCAGAGTTTGTTTTAAATAATGAGGCCCTTACCTCATAAAGGTTAGAGCTATTGTAGCAAAAGAGTAAATTGCGATGTGCATAATAATGGTCAAAGACAATATCATTTCTGAATGCATAATTTACATGAAACGGCTAGTATTATCTATATATTGTTAAAATTCAATATTTGCATCTAAAAATGTTTCATATTATTTTACAGAACTACTTTACCATACAGCAGTCTTTTTTAAATGTTATTTTATTTTACTGGAATAAATAAACATACCATCTCTTGAGCAATTTCTATGTTACAATTTCAGCGACACATGGTCATATTTGTCTCTCTATCATGCTTTGAGTTTTTAAGTGTGTGCTCAGGATTTGGCAGTGGAAAATACTCTAAGTCCTTGCGTGTGCATGATTTGACTAGTATCTTGCAGAGTTAAGGTATATATTATGTGACTCTGTCACAAGAAAAGTAAAAAAAAATCGTGGTATAAGATTTTATATGTAGCATTTTGCAATAAACTAAAACGGAACTAATTCTTATTCGAAGGCACTTATGCCACCTGAAGAGGAACATGATATGGATATGTCTTGAAAATTTTAAAGCAGTGCTTTGATTATTTAAGAACATCGTGTATATGTTTTTAACTCTTTTAATTGTTTAACGCTCCTGTTACGTCGAGTAATCGATGTTTTCACCTACCCAAATTTCGATACTGAGTTTATTGTCGGACTCAAAAAATAAAGCCATGTTTCATCCCTTGTGACAATTTTTCTAAGGCGTCTATATAACTAGTGTCTCGATCTTTGGACCTATTCAATTAGGCAAAAGCTTTTTCAACCCGAACCCTTTTCTGGTAAGAAGTAAGCAAATGCAGGATACAACGGGCGCACACTTTCCTTTACTAACTTTTCTTTCAAAATGGAAAACACACATCACGCGCCGATATGTCACTTATCTCCTCCATGGTATGACTTTGACAATCTGATTTATTTTTAAAAGGTATCGCAAATTGTCCGCCCAGGGCGGGGATCATCCTTAAAATTAGTTCTACCTTTATGGAACGCCATAGCTGCCTCATGTTATTACATTTCTTTTTATCTTGCCCAGAAAACGTATTATTATGTCAAATATAAGCGTTGTAAGGCCATTGTCGACTTGTCTAAACATTGCCTTATTATGCGTAACAGTAGTCTTATCTCTTTAAAATGTGATGTTGACTTGTGTTAAGATTGTTTAATTTTTTCAAACAGTAGTGTTATCAATTCAAAGTGTCGTTTTGGCTTGTCTGAAATATGTCTTATTATGTCAAATTTATGTTCAAATTTAGTTCTGTCTTGAGAAAGCGCTGCCTGGTTTTGCTTTACTGTCCCGTTATCATTTTTGCTCTATCTATTAACGCTCCGCGCGGGCTCTGGCCACGTGATACTAAATTTTGACAACATCGCATCTAGACAGGATAACACGATTATCTAACATAATGAGACAGTATTTAGACATGTTAACGTCATAAACTGGCAAATTAACGCCACTGTACTATATAATGATACTGTGTTTCAATAAGTAAACACCACATTTGAAAAGGAAAAAAATGATACTTCACCATAAAAGGACGATGTTTAGTAAAATTAACACCGAACCTTGACAAAATAAAATGACAGTTTGACAAAAAAGTAATTTTAGACAAGTCATCACCACGTTTCGACTAGATGATATGACTATAAGACATAATAAGAAGAATATAGACAAGTTGAATCTGCATTTGGACACAATAGCATGACAGTTTGACAAATTAAAATAGCGTTTTAACAGTTCATAACCATAATTTGTAAAGATACCATCATTATTTCACATAATAAGACGGTGTTTAGGCCGGTTAACATAAAGTTTAGATAAAATAGCATGGCGATCTGAGAATAAAGGCAGTGATAAGACATGTCATGTTCTTTACCAATGCTTAAGCAGACCTTCGTGACTATATCCCTGCGCCTTTGAACTCGAACCATGCGTTATTCTACAACAATGCACTCAAAATTGATTTCAATTTCCTAAATCCTATATATTCCTATATCTTTTTTTTGTGGCTGAAAAAGATATAAATTTAATTTAAAATGCAAAATGCTGAATAGAGTTATAAACATGGTTATTACTTAACTTAAATGTTTGTTCAAAACTGAAAAAGTGTTTTTATTTAATCTTATGAGTGGTAAATTAAACAATTTTATGATGTTACATACAATATTTATTGATTTTATTTAATATTCCAAAATGAGTTGATAAATGGGAAAACTACAACTTTTGACCAGCGCTTACCATATGAAATAATTTTGATAATTTGTTTTATAGAATGAGCTAGCAAGGCGAACGAGAGAAAAAAGAATTTCCGCCTTCGTTGAGCGTTAAATGTTATGATTTTTCTAAACAGAAGGGCTATTAAGGCATGTCTTAAAAATGAAATATCTAGCAAAGAAACAAAAAAGTAAGAAAACTTAGAGAAGATATATAAGTAAGTTCCACATGAAGCACAGATACAAAATACATGTCAAATAGCACGACGCCGGAACAGAGGCAGACGACGACGACGACAACTGAGTGACCATAATACCTGCAACGGACTGAATGAATTATAACTACAAATTATTTAACATTGCGTCTTCCATAGATTTCTTTCAAATTATTCGCATGTAAGAGCATTAGGCTTGAAACAGAAAAAGTGGGTTCAAAGGTTCCTGTTCGGTTTCAAATAATAAAAAAAATAATGAATAAAAATCATGATCAAAAACAAAAGTATAATTTGTTTACACTGCCCTTTTTACTGATATCTTTAATGGTATTTTTTCCGGAATAATAATGTATGTCCCAGTAAGATGGCGTTTCAAATTTGAGAAAAGCGATTTAATTGAACGCAAAGAAAAGTCATGAAGAGTTACAAGGAATTGTGACCTTTGATCTCAAAAACTATCAAAATGTTTCACAAGAGGACCCAAAAGACACTAGATCGTTCTTCCATTGAATCCTGTTGTTATGCCATGTGACTTTATTATGAAGATTATTGAAATAATTTGCATAATGATCAACGTCAACAAAAGATCATGTGTGCCAAGCTCGCCTATTTTTACTTTCACTTGTTACCAAGAAAGCACATTTTGAAAGATTTTTATTATAAGTCAATGAAATGGGTGGACCCACAGGGCGTAGCAAGAATTATAATACTTTTTTCAGGCTACTACACAAAACTTAAATATCTCAGCAGTAGCTTTAAAGTTTCGAATATCACTTTTTTGTTGATACATTGAAATACCTTTCTTGAACCCCTGTGGGCTACTTATGCTGCAAATCAGAATAATGTGCTGCATGACATACACCAAGGACCACCCAAAGATCATCTTTGCCAAGTTTAGTGCACATATGTACATTCTGTTCAAGAAAATACATTTTTGATGTTTAACAAAGATCTAATACGGCTATGTAACGGATGTGGCAACAGATCGTGCAAAGCATTAGCTGTTAAAGTGACATGATTTCTATAAGGTTTTAAAATGACCACTATGTCATGCTTCAAACGACAAATTTAAGCTCCATCTATCCCAGGTTTATAGGACAATATAAAGAGCATCAAATAATTACCATAATCTGTTGGATTGCCTCACATCAACCAATTATTTCTATGAAAGTTTTTTTTTAAATAACCAAAACAAATCCAGATCTTTGATAATATAATACTTAAAACTCTTTGTCTAATTTCAGAGAATCAATTTCCTCAGGTGTGCAACGTTTTATTTATATATTGTTTTTTACTGTACATATATTACAAATCATTTTCTACGAAAGACAAATGAGTTTTGACAAGAAAGTCGTTTGCATATAGCGAAAAATTTTTTTTCACTCCTTTTACGGTATTTCAATCCGGGGTACTCGTGAGTCATTTCATTTTAATCACAAATCCTTCCAATGATTGGTACAGCAGTTTTCCTTGTTCATGGTTGAAAGTATATATGAGCCGGGCCATGACAAAACCAACATGATGGGTTTGCGACCAGCAAGGATCCAGACCAGCCTGCGCATCTGCTTAGTGTGATCAGGATCCATGCTGTTCGCTATCAGTTTCTCTATTTGTTATAGGGTTTGTAAGCGAACAGCATGGATCCTGGTCAGACTGCGCGTATGTGCAGGCTGGTCTGGATCCATGCTGGTCGCAAACGCATTATGTTGGTTTTGTCGTGGCGCGGCTCATATAGCTAATATGTAATGGGTATCAATCAAAATTCAGTCTTTTCGCTCAGTGCATGATTACAAATCCGGATACACGTAAGTCTTTCGTCTTTTATATTAAATTTGTAGATCAACTTTAATACTTGTTGACAATATGCGTATATACTTGCTAGATGGATACCAATTAGTGTTTCAAATTGATTAAAAAACAAATAAAACTTCATTGTACACTGTAAAGACTGTATTAAAATGTGATACATCAATGGAATTTTAAGGGTCAGTGTAAATACAAAATGTTGATCAATTATCTTTGTCTGTTTTTTGTTTTTATTATTTTCAAGCGTACGTTTTATAAAATATTTGCCTTAAAAGCGTTAGATTACAAGAATAATGGTAAACACAATGTGACATGTAATCATGGAAATAAATTTCTTTTCTTTCATGGCAAATTAGCATTTCAAATATTACACAAATAACTACGAATTCAATCTTAATGTCAAAATTTAATTAATGAAAAAACATATATCAAACATCAAGAACATTTAAACTCACAATGAAAAAATAAAATCTAAAACGAAGCAATATTTCAAGGGTTAAATTTCTCAATTTATAAGCTTCCGTTAAAAACTTACGATTTTGTCTTTCAATGCCAGTATATCTACCTACTTCAATTTCAAGATTATGTGCTGATATCCTAAATCTAGTGAAGAGATCCCTTTGTTAACTATAAGTTTAGATGTCTGAATATTTTTTCATAGCAGAAATCATCTTTTAACTATTAATAGTATTCAAGTTGGGATTTCTGAACCTTTGTTTCAAAATACAGCAAGAGTCAAAATTTAACCATATATCACTGACACTTAAACTATCAAGTAACTTTTTAATTTTATTTGACTAAGAATTTGCGTTCTAAAAATTATATTGCTCGCATAGACATGCGTTGATTACTCGTTATTTTATCCAGTATTTCAAAGCTCTCTCTTTCATTAAAACTGACAAAAGGGGAAACAACCCAATTCTCCTAATACTGCTAAATGTGAAGATTGTGTTCGAACCCCAAAAATATCGGCACAAAATTTAGACGAGGTTTATCAATTTCTTTAAATTCATAAACGCCCTATATCACTGCAACGAACAGTTAAAAAGATAAACGTTTAAATACCAAGATCTACTAAGAAATGACAGCTAAAACATCAAATCGCATGATACTAATGATTGTATTATCATATATACTGTCTTATAAAAATAACAATAAAAACGATTCACCATTAAACCTGTTTTGTACATGCTAATAAAATGTCTTGCCTATCTTGTTATCTTTTTGGTGTAAGATGCAAGAACTACCTTGATAATGTGGTATTACAGTGAATGTTGACAGATCTTTTATGGACAAATACTTCAACATGATTTTTCCAAAATTGAGAGGCATTCAGTATATTTTCCTGACATTCATGCCATAGCCGTGATTTTCGTATGAATTGCCTTTCTTCACTTCACACTTTAAATGAACAAGCAAATGCTTCAAGTTTACAGAAACAAATATAACCTTAAGTGTAAAAAGAGAAAGCCTTTATCATGAGCCTTTTCTTTTCTTCATCATTTATAAGTTCAATTTTCATTTTTCGGCTATGGACACTTGATATCTAAAGACAATACAGTAGTTTTATTTACAACATTTACTTACGCAATGGAAATTATTAAAGTTTACTTGCAACCTGGAAATAGACTTGTAATGTTATCTGATACTTGAGCTTATCAGTAATTAATGTGGTCAAAATGTGGTGTTTTCCTTCATTCTCTATAGTAAATTGTAGTATTTACAACAACAGTGTTTGTGTTTGTTAACCGCAACCCGCGTCAATTTTGGAAATATATTAATAAATTTAAAAATAAAAGTAAGCCAGATTCTTCTGAAATAAGCATTCATGAATTTGCCGAATATTTTAAGAGTTTATCTAATTTGAATCCAAGTGATTCTGTGTTTCATGATGAGACCCCTCTTCGTAATGAAAATGTCATTATAGATGAACTTGACTGTCCTTTTACTGTTGATGAGGTTTCTAGAGTAATTAGTAGTCTGAATAGGCATAAAAGCTGTGATTATGATAAAAATGTTGCTGATTTTTTATTGATTCTAATCACTCTATTTCACCATATTTAGTAGTAATTTTTAATAAAATCTTCGACTCAGGTATATACCCTGCTGCTTGGCGTAAAGGCGTAATAGTTCCTATTTTTAAAAAGGGAGATAAAACTAATCCTAGTAATTATATGGAAATCACTTTAACAAATGTTATGGCAAAAATATTTTCTATCATTCTTCGAAATAGAATTAACAAATGGTGTGAATCTAATGATGTTTTTAACGATAAACATAGTACAAGTGAATGTATATTTTTATTACATACATTGATTCAAAATATTTTATTTAACAAATCTAAATTATTTTGTGTTTTTATAGATTATGAAAAGGCGTTCGATACCGTTGTTCGTGAAGCTTTGTGGATTCAATTATGTCAATCTAATATTAGCTGTAAAATCATTACAATGTTAAAATCTATCTATGCAAATGTTAAAGCATGCGTTAAATTGTCTTCGAACATAAATATGTCAGATTTTTTTGATGTCAGTATTGGTTTAAAACAAGGGGAACCACTCTCACCTTTACTATTTATTTTGTTCCTCAATGATATTAATAATTGTTTAGATTTAAATAATTTATCAGAGGGTGATTTGAACCAGTTATCAATGTATATGTTAATTTTTGCTGATGACATTGTTTTATTTACGACGAATGCAGCCAGCTTGCAAGCCCAACTTGATTGTATTTATCAATACTCGATTAAATGGGGCCTTAAGATAAACACCAAAAGTCCAAAGGTTGTATTTTTGAAACGAGAAAACAATCTAATTCTTTTGAATGGTTAATAAATGGTGAAAAATTAGAAATTGTAGATAATTTGTTATTTAGGTGAAAATTTTATTTACACTGGGAATATGAAAAATGCTGTTAAGGTGCTCTCTGACCAAGCTGTCAAAGCATATAATTGCCTCTTGTCATTATTTACAAGAATAAATCTTGATATCAAAACGAAACTTTCACTTTTTGACTCTATGGTTCTACCTATTTTATTGTACGCCTCGGAGATTTGGGGCATTTGTGAATTGAAGGAAATAGATAAACTTCATATAAAATTGGGTCGTTTCCCTTTATCAGTTTTAATGAAAGAGAGGGCATTGAAATACTGGATAAAAATAATGAGTAATCAGCACATGCCTATGTATACAATTTTTATAGAGCAATGTAATTTCCAGAACGCAATTTCTTGGTCATATAAAATTAAAAATTTACTTGATATATGGTCCAATTTTGACTCTTCCTGTAACTTTTTTTGTATTTTGAAACAAAGACTATGCGATCAGTATATCCAAAACTGGCAAATGGAGATTCGTAATGTAGCTAAACTTGAATACTATAAACAATTTAAAGTTAATTTTTGTTATGAAAAATATCTAGATATTTTGACTGATAGTAAACAAAGAGAGCTATATACTAAATTTAGAATATCAGCAAATAATCTCGAAATTGAAGTAGGTAGATATACTGGCATTGAAAAACAAAATCGTATATGTAAACTTTGTTCATCACAATCCGTTGAATCTGAGTACCATTTTGTATTATGTTGTAATAAATATTATGACCTACGACAGAAATATTTTACAAAAAATGCTTGGCCTTCAGTACAAAAGTTCATTAATATTAGGTCATCAAAACGTAGAACTAGTATTGTAAAAAATGCAAAGTTTTTAACAGAAGCTTATAAATTGAGAAGTTTAACCCTTGAAAATAATGCTGCTTCATAGGACTTTGTCACAATAGGGACTACGATGGGATACCAGACCGACCACAATTGCTATCTAAAACAACCAACAACTCAGAACAGAAAATATATACAAATTTATTTACAAGAAACGAATATTTATAAATGAAAAATGATTATATATGAAAAATCACTGCGCAAACAAACACTATCAACGTATCTCAGTCTATTTCTCCAAACACTATCAACGTATCTCAGTCTATTTCTCCGTAAAGTTTCTGTCATGATGTTTCAATAAAGTGGTGGCGTTGTTGAACAAAATTCGTCACAATGGCGGGCGTCTTGTATAAAATCTTATCAAGCGTAACTGTACTTCCTACAGTGTTGGCACAGTTGATAGGATCCTGAACAAGGGCATGCGTCACCCTTTAGCCATGGACATACGTGTGGAGGGCCCGTGTCATCTTCGGGTGTGTCCTCAAATAAGAAGCTACAAAGTATAAAACATGGTAAGTTCCATGATAATCAAACATAAGGGTATAATAAAGTCCCTTGGAAAAGACTCGACCTTTGTCGGTTTCCAATAAAATAACGTGCTTCTTTGAATAAACAAAATGTCCACTATAGTACACCATACATTCCGTGGAACAAAAATTCAATCACATCCGCATAATACTGCGTTGCAAATATATTCAAATATACGCCACATAATAACCACTAATAAATAAACGTCTTCAAAATCATGCCACTGAAGATCCTTCTCTAGAGATACGTTAGTTTTGATACGTTGTATTTACTTATAACAAAAACTGATGAAAAATGAAATGAAGTAAGATGATAACGTAAATTAAATTGATTGAAACAAATCATTACGATACTGCAGCATTTTACATAAAGTTACACAAATACGGTAGAACCATAATAAATTATTTATGAATAGATATATATATCTATAAAATATTCATTGCTCCTATACAATTACAATATAATTAAAACTTCAATTAACATACATCAATTAACATGTCTCGGTATAAATTTGCAATAGCGAAACACTAGAATAAAAAGAGCTTTTTAAAATTTAATCTGCAAAAATTTAGAAAATTTAGAAAACAATAAATTACTGCCAAATAACTAAACCTGAATCAAATAAACTATAATTCTAATAGAAAATAGTATTTTACGAAATAGCAAAAATTTACGAAACAAAATCACTAGAAAATTAAATTTACCTTGTACAAGCTGTAATTTTATGACAAATATAATTTGTCTGTCACCGTCATAGTGACCTGTATAACGTCCAGTGCATTGCAATATATCACTTAAAATTTAGTCATTATATAGCAAACTACTGAGTACTGAGCGGGAAAACGGATCGTGCAAAACATGAAAAATCGATTTGCACGAAATAAAGCTGGGACGGCGGGAAAAATAGTTATGTAAAATAAAAGCCCGTCCTTCAAATACAGACATAAAACATATATCTGGTTCATAAAACAAAAATGTAACTTTCTTATTACTGAAAGGATTTTTGTGAAATAAACGGCAAGATGTTTAAATTGAGACATGGAAATTTATGCAAACCATAAAAATACTCTAAATAATAATTTCACCCGAAAACTCTAAATTGAACAAAAGATGATGCAATCTCACATCAATGAATATAGAGTAAAAATGAGGTTCGGCGTGAAAATATAATGCAAGATTTTACAAACGTACTTTCACTTTGTGACAGACTTATTACCTTTGTGAGTTAAAAATTTCTTAATGTTTGATATTTGGTGATTATTTATTATGTAAAGATTGAATGTGTAGTTATTTGTGTATCTTTTATGTATACTGTATGTCTTGGCCATGTGTATTAGCATGTGTAAATGGTCAAAGGCATTTATTATGCCGATTTGCCAATAAATGAAATGGAAATGGTTAACAAACTATAGTCCCGACTTGTCAATACAGTGTATGAAATATTAAACTGTTAAATCAAAAATAACTTTGTAGTCATTTATACAAAATAACTTTGGTTTGCAATTTATCAGCCGCCATATCTTTTGCTAACCATTCACAAGTTAACTGTAATGTCTTATCAGCAATGTTTTACCATTAATAGATTCCATAGCAGTACTAATATTCCTGACAGTCACTTGATTCTTACAAAAGAACAGGGAGAAATTGTTAAAATTGAACAAAATACAATAAAGTAGGTCTTAAAAGATATTAACAACCAAATGATTTAACAGTGTCATTTCAAGTCGTTAACATAATTCAGAAAGTTATTGTCATTTGTTTTTTAAAGCCCATGTATTTTCCATAGGAGGAATTTTAACTGCACCTTGATGTCGTTATTTCGAACATATTCTGTCGCTCCTCGGTACAAAGCTTCATTTATATCTATCATTTCTTTTTTTTTATCATAAATCCTCTGATTCCGATTTTTCCGGGGAGTGATTGTATTTGACTACAATTGGTCTGTTTTATTTGATGTAAATTTGCCCTCTTCGGCGGCCTTATCAATTCTTATTCTCAAAATAAAAACACATGATAAGTGAAAATAGGATTTGCCAAGCATCATAATTCTTTAAAGTCATTATTACTGTTTCAATATTATGACATTCTTGGTATTATTGGCCCACTTTCATTGATAAATTGTTGAAAGGCATATTGCATCAAGCTTAATAATTTCTCCAAGCCAAGCCATGTTTTTACCTTGCATTTGTTCAACTACTTATTACACATATTTTAGCTGGAAGCCGATTTCCCTTTACAATTTAATAACCCATTCAATAAAAATCATTTTTGAGTCATAAGATAGTTTTTGAAACAAATCTAATTTTATTCAAAAGACATAATAATTTGGTCATATCTTATGCGGATAAATAAAAAAGAATTGATTATGATATCTATCTGTTGAATTATTTTATTATCTCGCCTAATATTTCGATACGATAAATCTTATTTTAATTTTCACAATTCAGAAAGGAAAACTCAAGCGTAAGAAAATCAAGTATGAACATTTCTTTCATCTATGGATTTCTACTTGTGTTTGCCGCAACAACATGCGGCGCTGTCAAGGTTTGTTTAGTTTGAGCAGTAAATATACAGGAATTACCTTCATTATATACAGTAAAAGACAATTATAATAAAGAACTTATTATATGATCTTCCGATATAATTAAAAATTTATGATAATATTGTAAAGTTGAAATATTGAGTTTTTGTTAAATAATAATTATGCTTTTGTTTTTATAAATGTATAATCGAATAAACAAAATGATTCAATGCTGAAACATTTTATGTAATATTGGAACTTAAAATTTAAATTCAAACTAATATTCAATACAGGAAACCGAGAGCCAAAGTATAGTAAGCGACAAAGGAAAGAAGATTACATTGAATATTGTTCATAAAGAATCGGAAGAGGACATTGATGTACTTGATGACAAAGGAACTCCAATTATTAAAGTCGAAATCATTGAAGACGATGTAAGAAGCTTATATCATACCTTCCTTGATATATGTTTAAATTAATTAGAATAGAAAATAAGTTATTTATCTTGTCTTTTTTATGTAGACAGTTTTCTATTTCACTTTTGTATTTTGTACTTAAGAATATATTCCTGTCTGCTCATTTACTTGCTAACATGAAATAACTCAAGTGTTTTTCTTTAACGGTTTGAAACAGTATAAAAATATTGTTCTGGTCGGCTGAAACTTAGCCAGTGAATTTTCTGTATTTTCAAATACACGTATCTTACTTTTATAGAGTATGAAGAAATATAAATGTATGCTCTCAAGCTTCATTTAGAATAATGTTGCACGAAAGAGGAGGATATTCAAACTGATTCCCAATATGATTATAGTTTTCTTTACTTTGTCACATGTTTATTTTCTAGTTGCCAAAAGAAATATAGTAGCCGCTACTGATTTAAAGTATATAAATATCTTTTTAGGGATATCAAGTTGACAAGCCAGCCAATGAAAATGTTTGTCTTCTGTCCAAGTTGGAAGAGGTTTGTAATACATACAGTTCACTATGTTTACATCAAACTTAGTTGAACATGAAAGAACTTTTTCAAGGGTCGTTTCAAGGAGTCAATGTCATTTGTTTTAATTCATTGTAATTATCATATAAAGTATCAATTGTAACATTTGCCTATCATTGTTTTAAGTTAAATGGACATTGTCAATATATTTTGTAACTGATATCTTTTTAATGATTTCAGTATGAGAATAAATCGTACTGTTACGACAGAATGGAGTATCCGTCTTCCAACACATCACAAAAAATACTTGATCACTGCGACGGTCGATCTATATACGTTCTTGTTCCAATAAAATGCCGTGGTGAAGAACTAGAGAAGGATAATGAAACAACCCCGGATGATAAAGGTTAAACAATTTGCCCGTGTTGAACGTTAAGTACATTTCCTTGTTAATGCCAACATCATCCCTCAATAATGAAGTTTAAAATTATATTTTCTTGCACTTTTTATAAGTCAGGCTTAACAAAACCTACTCTGCAATACAACGGATTTCAATGCAGTTTTCAATTTTGGGCGACCATTTCTTTACTATTATAAATTCATTATTGTGGAACACCGGCGCTACTTTTTGTCATACATGTTACAGCTATTTTCTAGTTCAAAGTGTCAGCTATTTCAATTCTTTTATAGGAGTAACAAGGGCGAAGAGAGGTTTGCAGTGCTCCTGGTCAGGCTACTACTCAGTGAGATATGTAAGCGTTACTCAATGTTGTCAACATGTCTATCTATTATGCACAAAAAGGTGCTTCGTCAAATACGAATATCGTTCAGTCTGGATAAAAGTATATAAATGCTCAAATTCTTTGTAAACACTGTCGATGCTATTTCTTCTATTTTACAGAGATGACAGTTTTTCCCCAATGTTTTCTTAAAGTGTACTTATCTGTGTATATACTCTGTACTTGAACTGAAAATCTTTTTCTGGATAATAAACCTATCTAATCGTTCAAAGTTTGTTGTTTTTTATAAATATTTGTGAATTGAGTAAATAATAGGCATACATTTAATTAACAAACGCCATATTGACAAAACATGTAAAAAATAAAGATACCAATTTCAAATTTCAAATTTTATTGCCTGAAACATTATACAATGTTTATAGCATATAAACAACATAAACATATATACATGTTCAATGGATAAGACATGAGGTAAACAATTAACAAGAGCTTAACAAACAGACAAAGAGAAGAAGTTCAATACATATTATATTAAATATGATGCCTTAAACAATGCGAATTTTATTTGCAGAAAAAATGAATTTTGCTAAGTTATATAAAGTATTTTTTGATGATGAACACATGATATTTTCAAATTTGTTTAAAGAAGGCCAGTGACAATAATAACTTTTAAAAAATTTACTTCTACTGGTTCTATATTTTGGACAAACTAGTAAAAAGTAGTATTCGGTTCCAATAGATTCATGTCACAAGATTTAAAAAGACGCTCATTTATGGGTATGTTAGTGTATCTTCCCGTTTCTATGGCTAATTGGTGTGCTGAGACTCTAAATTTAGCTAAAGCTGTTTTTAAGTAATTTTCTTTAATAGTATCTAGATATTTTTTCTCTTTTGAATTCATGTTTAAAAATTGCATATGTTTTTAATTTGTTCGAGTTGTTTATTTCAGAATACCATTTTTGGTAATAGTTATCAAATATTCTTTGTTTTATCAATTGGAGTGTTGTATTATCAAGTTTTTGTGACAGCCAAACGTATCCAAAACCATGTTCATTCAAAATTTGTTTTATTTGAGACATAGAAAGGTATATGTCTTGTTTACTTGTTTCATGCTGTTTTGTGAATAACTGATATATAATTACAAAACATTTAATTACTTCACAGTTATATTTTCACACTTACCTTGAAAGAAACTACTCCTTCAGTATTTCCCCGCTTGATACCTCATGTTAATTTTCAATTACAGAATTAATTTGAGGAAATCGGACTTTAATTGAAAATCGATTGCTGTGCTTAGCCCGATTTGAATTAAGTGTTTAAACGCTTTTCACTTTTGGGTTACTAGTATTTTGCAAAGTAAAATGATGATTGAGGAAAAAGGGGAA